CCTATCCCTGACAAACTTGAGCCCATCGCTGCAGTCACTGTATCAGTCCATCTCATTGAGGGGCTTCCTCTCTTCTGCCAACTCTGCCCTTCCAGGAATGAGATCCCCTTCCAGGGAATAATCCCTCATAACAAGATGACCAAAGTTTGTGAAAGGAAGCTTCACCATCCTTAGCTCCAAGGAGCACCCTGGGTGCACTTTCTTCAAGACACATCTGTTTATTCCTTTGACAGTCCGTGGGTTAGTCAGTACTCTTCTTCGACATCACAGCTCAAAGACATCGGCTCTCCTTCTGTCACCTCTATTCATTAAATCATTTTTTCTGCCCTCCAGAGGGTCAAGTCTAGATGTGACCTTACACAATGTTAAGGGCTAAAATGGAAGCACACACTGGAGTTGTGGATTATAGGGGATCATCAGAAGTTCTCATGTCAGGCTTAATTTATAAAAATTGAAAGTTAGAGCACTTAACTTCTGGTAAGAGACACAGCAGGGGCAAAATAACCTGCTTTTACAAAAGGGAAAAAGGCCCCAGCGGTCAGGAAATGTAAGTGACTTGTCTGCCTTTACTCAGCCAGGAAGAAGAGGGATGCTGGTCAACCCTGATCCTGAACTGGATAAATACTCAACCAGTGAATCACCTCTCACTTCCTGATGCATTTTGTTCATCTTGCCTTTCAGCAAATAAGATTTTCTGTATTTCCGTTTCCATGAATTGCTAAGAAGCAGATCTTTAAAAACCAGCTGGCATCATTAGACTTTCTACACAACAACTCTTTTAAATGTCTTTCTAAATGAAAACCATTCCCTCTCTTCGTAGGTTTTGATCTATGAAAGTGAATTTCACAAAAGATTCTTTGAACCAGCTGAAAAACTTGTGATTAACTTTATCACCTTCGGTATTCTGGATGATTCTAGAACTTCTCATAAGGATTTAACAGAAGCCAGCAGTGGTGGATCTAACCACAGCCATCCCAAGACCCCAGAGGGCCAGGAGCCCCATCAGGAGGAAGACGAGGTGACGCACTTAGGGTACGCTTCCCACGTGATGGAAGTTTTCTGTGACCCTGGGGAAAACACAAACGGTCCTTCCCTAACCCAACAACGAGAGTCACTCAGCAGAACCAGAACCATGGACGAAATGGTCTTAGAATATGAATATGACGTTACAATGGCGGATATCCCTGTGAGGACTGAAGACCGAGAGTTTGATTTGCCAGGAGAAGTGTGCAAACGAGGAAAGCTGGTTGAGCAGCTGGCCCCTTTGGCAAACCTGGGCCGACAGACATTACTGTATCCATGTGCTCCCCAGTTCAGAGGCTTGGGCCCCCTCAAGCAGATGTGCACAGATCCTGAGAAGTCAGAGGAAGAGCCTTCCACAACACTGGTCGACTGGGACCCTCAGACCGGCAGGCTCTTTATTCCCTTGTTAGCTGACTCAGGGGCTCATGGATATTCTGAGTGTGGCCAACTCACTGAGGGGGACCTTTTGTCCAGGCTCTATGAGGAGCAGGCTACAGACAAACTTCTTGAAGAAAATGAAACCTATCTCATGCAATTTATGGCAGACTGGGGCTTATGTGTACAAATGCAAGACTAACGCCAAAGCTTCCTTTTGCCAGATTCTTCCTGTTGCAGAGCACATGAATGCAAACCAAATGAATTACAAAACAATAAAGTATTTGCTCTAAGTATGTGTACTTGGAATATGTAGTGGGGGTAAGAATGATTTCTCTCTCCCCGCTCTTTTGTTCTACTTCATAGGTGATTGGTTCATGTATATGAGTCTCTTAGAATGATGGCAACTGATCCATTGCTTTATGCAGAAGAATCATTCAATATATGTTGGTCCATTTGGGTGAGAACACTTTCTGCTTTGGATTGGCTCATTAGCATGACCAAAACTAATGGCCCATTAGTGTTGACTTAAATTTATCCACAGGGGTTTTACTATATAATTTCCTTGTTTATTACTCTCTGACAGACAGACTTCTACAGTTATGCTCTGTGTATTAGCCAATGTGGATCAGGAAAAGACTTGACAATCTGCTTCTGAAAAAAAATCAGCCCCTTAAGCCTTAAGGAGAATGGTTCTAATCTGAAATACATGAGTTGGAATCAATTTGTCAGCACCTGGTTGGTTGGTTGGTTGGGTTTTGGATTGGGTTTTTTGGTGTTGGTTGTTTTGTTTGTTTGTTTGTTTCTTTTAACCATGTGTATAGCTCTTCAGAGGGCTGTGGTGGTTCTGTGGCCCCCTGGGGGGTTGTGCTGCTCACCCAAAAGCGGTGCCTCTCCAGAGTTCGAATCCACCGGTGACTTTGCAGGAAAAAGACGCATAATCTCCTCCAGTGCCATTTACAGCCGCAGAAACCCAATGGATGGTCAACTATGAGTCAATTCCACATAAATGGCACTGCAGAAGTTGTGGTGAATTTGAGTTTAACAGTATTTATATTCATATACTCCTCAGCTTCTTGGATAAATTCCAATAACTCTTCTTACCTTTTATTCACCATTAACTTAAAAATTAAATTCTACAGTCATACTGCACTAAAATGTGACAGAACCTGGTAGCCATATAGAATTATTGATATTTGATTATTTTGCATCCTCAAAACCGAAAGTTTCATGTTGTTTCTCATGATATGGCTTTGTTTTCATCATTAACTCATTGATATTCTTACAGAAAAACAGGTAACATCCGTAGATGCTTATTTATATTTTTGGTAGCTGCAGGCAGACAGCTGGCAAGAGCAAAGAGGTCTGGAGTCATCGTCTTTTGAGATTGTCCACAAATCCAAACAGTTTCTATTCTAATGGTTTGATTTAGATCATAATTATATTAATCAGAGTGTTCTGTTCTCAATCTTTGTGGTAATGATCCTGACATTTTGAATAACAAATTTATAGCTCTACCTGTAAAAGAAGTTCAGATGTGGAGAAAAAATGAGTTATTGAGGGAAAAGGAATTAAATGATTGGTGATAGTTAAGTCACTGTAATGACCATATATTTTTAAGCCCACTGAGTCCTTCATTGTCATATCTGTAAAGCAGGAAGGATTAATAGCTGTAAGAAGATTAAAACAATATCGAAAGCATTTGGAATGGTCCCTAGCTTATAGTCAGTTATAAGTGCTTGTCATCATCATTATGGCCTAGTGATAAGAAGCTGTGTTGCCATCCTAAAGGTGTGTGGTTCTAATCCACCAGCTGTGTCACAGAAGAAGGATGACAGTCTCCTCCTATGTAACTTATTGCTGCTGAAAACCTGCTAGACAGTCAGCTCTAAGTAGCTCTGACTCAATGACACAAAACAACAATAGGAGATGTACTATTTGTGTATAGTGGAATAACAAGTTCCTTAGCGTTGTAAGAGGATTCAAAGAATGCATAAAGCACTTCAAATGGGGCCACGCACCTGTTGTTGTTGGTTTTAGGTGTCGTTGAGTCAACTCAACTCAGAGGGACCCTATCAACAGCAAATCAGAAACTTGTCTTATCTTGCACCATCCCTGCCGTGCTCAGATCCATTGTTGCAGTCCATCTCAAGGAGGATCTTCCTCTTTCATAGACTCTATACTTTTTCAAGTGTGATGTCCTTTTCCATGTGCTGGTGTCTCCTGACAACCTGTCCAAGGTACCTGAAACATGAGTGCCATGTAAGGGCTTGGCATCATCATTATTAACTTCCAGATCAAGCCTTTCGCACAGGAAAGAGAAGACACTTAAGATATACATGAAAGGCAAACATTGCTTAACTTGGTTCTTCTTACCTAAAAGTTGTTGTTGCTATTAGATGCCATCAAGTTGCCTATGACTCCTAGCAACCCTATGCACAATAGCTTTGAAGCCTGCCCTGGCCTGAGCCAGTCTCACTGACCCCAACATACCAACCCCCCATTGTCCCAGTTACTGTATCAATCCATCTCACTGGGAGACTTCCTTTCCTGCATTGTCCCTCCACCCTTCCAAGCAAGATGTCCACATCCCCAAAGTTTGTGAGATGGAGCTTCAAAATCCTAGCCTCCAAGGAGAAACTTGTTTTCACTCTCTCCAAGAAAGTACAATACTAATTTGTACTATGCCTTGCTAGTAGAGGTTATTCCTTGGAGACGGAAATCATGTTTGGAATGGTGGAGGGATGGCAAATAAGAGGAAGACCCTCAACAAGATAAATTGGCACAGTGACTGCAGAAATGGGCTTGAGTGAATCAAAAGTCTCTGTGAGGATGGCACAAGATAGGACAGAGTTCAGATCTCTTGTTCATAGGGTTGCTATGAGTTATACTCAACAACACTTAAAAACTTTCTACTTTCAGATTAGAAGCCTTCAGTAGTTGAACCACATTTTGTGGTTTTATAAAAGAAAAACTAATTCTGAGTCATCTTCATATCTTTTTTCATGCTAAGTTTGCCAGAATTATTGAACAGTTCCCTAATTCTGTTAACTCATTACTTTGCAACATAAATACATATATTGGCAGCATCATGTAGATAGAGATTGAGATTGTTAACAATTTTAGCTTGCTCAATCAACAAGAGTGTTCCACAATCAACACTCTTGGCATCAGCAGTCAGGAAATCAAAAGATTAATTGCATTAGAAAAATCTGCTATTGGGGACCTTTCCAAAGTGCTGAAGAGCAAGGATGTTAGTCTAGAAACAAAGGTGCATCTGATCCAGGCCATAGTCTTCACAATTACTTGCGATGCATGAGAGCTGGACAATGACTAAGGATGATGGAAGAAGAATTTTGTTTGTTCATTTTTATAATTTTTTTTTAAATTTATCTATTGTTAAAAAAAAAAATATCAGGATCCAAGAGGGTAAGAGATGGGAGCAGGAGGGTGAGTTTGTTTGAAATGAAATCACAGGGTTGCACAATTTAGTGGGTGGAGGGAGTCAGTAAAGGAAAAGATAAAGATCTGGTGGGGACCGGAAAAGGCAGCATAATGGTGGGCATAGTCCAATGGTGATTTTTCTTTTTTTTTTTACAAAAAGATTGTCTATTTTTATTTGTGGGTTTCCCATTTGTAAATAAGGGCATAGACTCTCTGGCTGCTTCATGCTAAACAGGGGCATTGAGAAGAACCGGAAGGGAAACCCACTTTAACACTTCACTTATAGTCTTGATTTGAAGCTACATGCATGCTTTCTTGTTCAGTTAAAATATATTTTCATGATGTTTTCTGTCCTCTGACTGCAAGGTTTTGTGTGGGTGAGTCAAGTGGGAGTGGCTGGCTGAACTTTGAGGCTCCACCCACCTTTGCTTCCTTAGCTGGCAGTTATATTTCCCTTTTGTCTCTGGAACCAGGCTCAGGGTTCAGGTTATGGAACAAGACTCAGTGTTCAGCTTGCCTATAGGAAAGGGAGCAAACTTGTAAGTTACAAAGAAAAGGGCTTTGGTGTGTTACTTATAGGTGTACTGGAGGAGGAGATGGAGAAAAGTGACTTAGATAAAGATCCTCATACACACCAGGTAGCTCTTCCCAGGGGTCAGGCAGCACTCCTTGGGGGCCTGGAGGCTCTCCCTCAGGGCCGGCAGCTCTCCATGGAGATCTGGCTGCTCTCCCCAGTGGCCAAGTGGCTCTCTCCTGCCAAGTGGCTCTCACCAGTGGTCTACTGGTTCTCCCCAGGGGCCTGGCAGCAGAGGAAAATTGATGCCTTTGAGTTGTGGTGCTAGAGAAGAGTATTGGACATACAGTGGACTGCCAAGAAAACTAACAGATCTGTCCTAGAGAGGGTGAAAAACCAAGCTGCTCCATAAAGGCAAAGATTTTCAAACTCAGTCTCACATACTTTGGGCATATAGCCAGGAGGCACTGTTGTTGTTGTTGTTGTTGTTGTTGTTATGTGCCGTCGAGTTGTTTGCGACTCATAGCGACCCTATGTACAACAGCCCTAAACCATGCTCTATCCTGTGCCAATCTCATTGCCTCTGACACACCCATCCCGATTACCCCAGTCACTTAATCAATCCACCTCATAGAG